GGGCACGATCGGGAAAGCACACGTGGATAATGAGGGGGCGTGGCACACATCAGGAGCGGACGGAGCGGATCGTGACAGAACCCCCCCCCAAAGGCGCGCACACCGGGCGCGCCCGAGAGGAGGCGACGGACGAGACCGGGGAACAGGACCTGGAAGACAAAAGCAGAACGTCAACGAGACACTGGAAACAAGACAGAGGCACAGAACAAGAACAAGGACCAGAAAAACGACAGGACCCGACACAAGACAGGAAACGCAGACAGGCAGATCAAGAAAGGAGACAGAGAGGGGACAGAAAATGGAGGAACAAAAGGGCCGGGAGTGAACACGGGAGGCACAGAGGGACGAGCAAAGGCAGGACGAACAAAGGGACCAGAAGGGAACGGAGGAGGCACAGAGGGACGAGGAGCAGAAACAGGCGGGACGAAGGGACCAGGAGGGGACGGAGGAGACACAGAGGGACGAGGAACCGAGACAGGAGGAACTAAGGGATGAGGAGAAGGAACAACGGGAGGAGGAGCGACAGGGCGAGCTCGAGGGAACCCAGGCGGGCAAGGGAAGGCAGTCGTAGGGGCCACAGGTGGAAGGGAGACCGGAGCAAGAAGGGACCACACAGGGGAGAAGGAGACAGACGTGGGGACCGACAAAGGACACAAGGAGGGAGCAGGAGGGAACACTGGCGCAGGTGGAGGCGTAGCCGGAGCCAGGGTAGTCGCCCTCCGACGCCCAGCCGAAGTGGGAGGGCCCGGAGGCGGCCGATGAGGCGCCGACGGAGGGACCACAAGCGGGCGACGAGGCACCGGAGGGGGATCCGGAGGCGACAGCCGAGCCGGAGCCTTAGGACCCGCAGGCAGCCACCGAACCACGGCAAGGGGGCGCACGGGCGAGCCAGGAGTCAGGGTAGGCGGGACCAGGGACCGACGTCTGTGTCCCCGTCCCTTACGGGAAACAGACAGGCGCGGTCCTGTGGTGTGTCGGCCCGGCTGAGGCAAGGGTGAGGGAGTCAAGAGGGAGGTTAGTGCTGGGCGAACAGAAGTCAAAGCCTCCGAAGAAGCAACAGGTGGGGCAGTCAGAGCCGCGGGCGTGGCAGCAGGCAGGGCAGCCAAAGCCGCGGGCGTGGCAGCCAGAGCCGCGGGCGTGGCCGCAGGCGGAGCAGCCAGAGCGACGGCCTTAGACGGGGCCGCGGGCCTGGCTGTGGCAGCGGGCGGAGCCGCGGGCGCGGCCGGCTGGAACGGCGAGCAGGGCTGGGCCGGCTGGACCGGCGTACAGGGCTGGTCCGGCTGGACAGACGAGCGGGGCTGGGCCGGCGAACAGGGCTGGGCAGGCTGGACAGACGAGCAGGACTGGACCGACGAACAGGGCTCGGCGGGCGTGGGTGCAGGCGGAGGCAGCGCCGGAACCGCAGACGCAGCCACAGGCACCTCGGGCAAGCAGCCAGCTGTAGGCGGTGCTGTAGGCAGTGCGGCGACAGCAGTCG